CCCGCCCCCATGTGGATTGAGGGGACCTCAACTTGGATTTGACTAAGTATGGTATTAATGTATGTGGCACTATCATGATTTTGCTGTTTATTACAGAGAAATCAATCATGAGATCACAAGGCTTTTGTGGGTGCCTGGGCAGCAGGGCCAGATCTGGTGGTAGAGACAGGCAGCAGCAGCCAGGCAAAGTGACCCGCCGTTGCTGCAAAGCCTGCTGGGAAGTCGAGCCTGGCTGCCACACTGTCCCCACCTGGCTGTGCACCCAGGGGTGGTGGGACCAGCAATACATACTACAGCTTAGGGTTCCCCCTATGCCTGGGACAGATTGTACTGACGGACCTGCTGCTGGCTGGATAGAATCCCTTGGTGGGCCGGATTGGGCCTACAGGCCATGTTTTGCCCACCTGTGCTGTAATTAATTTATAAGAAGCTTTAGGAAATGTAAGTGCAATGCAAAACGTTAATACAATATCTATGAAAAAGCATAAATAAATCTGGTTTAGTATTTTGGCCACCTTTTTTCAGACCGTTTTGGTAGAGCAATCCAAGAGCGTATGATGAAGCTTGTTATGCTGTTTACAGTGAGGAATGCTTGGCTTGCTGTTTATTACACCTTGCAGCATAGTATATTAACATCTGTGATTAGACATCCATGATCTATAACATCCTGATGGAATAGCCAGGAGCCAAAATAAGGATTTTGTGGCTTGTTTTGAAATGTTAATGAAGCTTTTGCATATTGTGTTTTCACTTATTTTTTTTCAACTCTTTAGTATCAAGAAAATTGCCTTGCTGCAAAGTCTCTCTTCTCAAGTTTCTGTTTACCACCGTTGTGTCTTCAGACTGAACTGTTACCTTATCTTGCTATGCTGACAAATCCAATGAGAAATCAAGGTAATATCAACATTATTTCATATTTTAAAAGTTAGATCTTCATCACAGTACATTTTGAAAATGCCTGTGAACCAAAACTGAAATGCAGTCTTCCCTAGATATGAGGCTGATTGTATACATGTGCATAGGACCCCCAAATTCTTTTCCAGAAGCATCTTTTAAAGCTGGTACTGTTTTGTTCTGTTAAAGTTCTAGGAAGCTTAATGTTTATAGTACAGCTTTCCACTAAAATGATCGAAAAACATAATTAACACAAAAGATGCAACTTAGGCTTATAACTATGTTGATAAAGTTATGTTTTATAAATATGTCTGGTGCTGTACAAACAGGTTAGCTAAAGTCCCTGTGCTGCAGGGACTGATTTCAGGCACCAAGAAAAAATACTTTGAAGGATTGAGGCTCTGAGTCCCATTCCATACACCTTTTTTAGTTCCCATACTAATACATAGTGACTAACAGGGAATTAATTATTATAGGTGCTAATTAACGACCGATTCAATAAGAATAAATTAAGACAGGATGTTGGATTATCTGTAGGAGAGGCCTATATACATTTAAAAAGTGTAAAAATGTACAGTAAATCTTCACCTGCATGCTTGTATGGACTCCTCCCCCAGGTCAGATTGCTTTTATCCAGGATGTTGGAAAGCTTCCCTTGAAAAGACACTTCCAAAGGTAAATTTTAAAACAAAAAATTTATAGTGTGTCAAGATTTCTGACATGTGACATTTTTCTCTTTCATTTGAGCCCTGATCATCTGAAATCTTAACTGTTGCAACCTTTCCTTTCTTGCCTTGATCCCTGCAATTTTTTAAGAAAACATGCTGCTAAGTCAATGACTCTTTTGCATTATCAAAAGGTAGCTCTCTTTCCTATATTTCCACAGTTCCTAATACAAAGAGGCTCTAACCTGAGTTTTTTGTATGTTACTGCAATACTTATATTCAGAGACTGCAAATGAATTTAAAAGCCAAAAAAAATAGCTTGTTGAAGCCATTTTTTCCTCATTACATGTGAAATCACCTTGATACTTTTGTTGGATCTCTATATGACTCCAATACTGGATGAGTAAGAAAGATGTAAAACACTGAAACACTTACATGGGTATACAATTATAAATTCATAGATTTCGTAGATATTAGGGCTGGAAGGGACCTTGGAAGATCATTGGGTCCAGCCCCCTGCCTGAGGGGCAGGAAGTCAGGTAGGGTCAAATGATCCCAGCAAGATAAACATCCAAATGTTTCTTAAATTATGTTCTGAAAAACTAAGTTTTAAGGAGCCCCTATTCTCTTGGGTAGTAAAAATACTGTTTTGGTCTTGTGTAATGTTAGATTGGTAGTCTGACTTCTTGGGGGATGTATGGTGTTACCAAGTGGGCAAAGCAGATTAGTTGTTTTGTGGCAAGTTTATAGTCTACTACATGAAGTCACTGAATTTCCACTAAGACTGTCTTGTACAGCCCTAAAAGAAATGTGCAGTTATTCTTTAACTGATGACCAAAGTCTCCTCATCACAGAATGCATACACCTCGTGTGACAACACTACATGGTCTCCTGAGTGAGCCT